AACATGCTGGAGTGTGGGGTATTATGAACCTAACATTACACACATTTAGGGGGGAATCTGACATAACACTCAATTAATTTTACAAGAAGTCACAATATTCCCAGTAGTGACACTTTTTGCAAAATTTCAGGTTTGTTTTTTTAAGTGGTTTCCCTCCATTCTCTCATTTCTAGCTTCCTAAAATTATATTCTCCTTTCAGTCCAAATTTTGTGTTTCCTTTCTTAAATCTACTTCCCTGATACACTAGACTGCTGCCAAGTAGAGTTAATAAATTCTAAATGACTGCTCTGGATTTATTTTCTTCATTTTTATGTTCCATATTATTTCTTTATACAATAGAGTATGAATGAAAACAAGAATCCAACAGACCAATATTTCTTCAATTTTCATCTGGTAAAAGAGGGGAATTAAAATAAAAATAAATTAAACTCTTGGGCTGGGAACTCCCTGACTGTATTTCTCTTACTCTGCTGGTGACTCTCTGTCTCCTTTCAATCTTGTATATGACAGTCAACAAAGCACTGTATACCGGAGGGGAGCCCTGGCCACCAAGGTCCTCTGGAGGAAATAACAGAGAATACAAAGCAGGGCCTGGACTACCATACAGAGAAGGGACAGCACCACAGTCTCAACTCGGGTCTGACAGGACCCTGAGGTGTAACTTAAAACATAGCAATTCCTGAAAAGACTTCAACAAGACTTGAATTTTACTATTCACCATCCAGAAAGGAAAAAGACCCAAGGAGCTGAAAATGACTTGCCCAAATTTCAAAGATGGTGCCCAGTGAAGCCTATGCCTTAGGTGAGTCCCTCTCAGACTAAGGCACTTTCTACAAAACTGCTTCTCTGGCTGCCAATTTTTTCATCTCAAGAAGTTCTGACTGCTCCCCTGTGTAACCCCACCTGCTTACTTTAAAGGATTATGAGGGCGACAGAAACATGGTATGCAAAAAATTACCAAAGGTGAGCCAGGCGGTGGTGGCGCACGCCTTTAATCCCAGCACTCGGGAGGCAGAGGCAGGAAGATCTCTGTGAGGTTTAGACCAGCCTGGTCTACAAGAGCTAGTTTCAGGACAGCCTCCAAAGCCACAGGGAAACCCTGTCTCGAGAAAAAACAAACAAACAAAAAAATTACTGAAGGAACAAACCACTTCACGGTACTATGAAGAAGGCCAAAGGAAGGACCAATCTGATGGCATTTACAGTGAGTGCATCAAGCACCAAATCCAAGTACCACAAGGTCCCCTCACCCAAACCTCATTCCTTTGAAATTTAGCCTGACATGAGAAAACCATCCACTGGCCACTCTGTAAATTGGATTGGCAAGAACCAAAATACTCCTCTCTAGCAATTTCCCAGACTTCTGTGCTTCCTGATGCACCAACTTCTAAGACAAGGGTTCTGGAAACACAAGGTCAGGGCACTTCATGTGGCAACCTGACATCTGGCTGCATCCTTAACAGTTAGGCCTAAATATTGTTATAACCTATTTCTAAAAAATTCTTGTAAACCCACTGAACTGAACAGTTTCCAAAGTCTTCAGTTGAGTCAACAAGCAAAATACACCCCCACCCCCCAAAAAAAACAACCAAACACCACCCCTCCCCCACCCCCACCAAGAAGTTATCTTTTCCATGCCCTAGTTCCCTCATGGGTGATGCTCACACCTTCCCACACAGGGGCAGATGTGAAACAGTTTTAGGGACAGTGTCATACACTGTAAGCACTCACTGGCTACCATTATCAGTATTCCTTCCTGTGGGCCCTGTGGGCCCTGTGGAAGCAGGGCACCCTGTGGCAGCACGCACAGAACATGCCTACTTCATCTGCACCCACTACTCCCCAACTGGAATGTCAATGACCTCAAAGTGGGGGCCTAGCTTTATTCCCAGTGGCATCCAGAGCCTAACATTTTGCCTGGAAATGCTGAATGAATCACACACGCTCTAAGTCTATATCACTGGCAAATTAGACTGGAAACTGAAACTGATCTCGATTGTCTGGCATTTGTGCTCTGAGTCTAGCCCTTCCTCTTTACCTCTCAAACGTCGATGCCTGCTAAAAGCAGCAATGGCAATATCCTAGTGACACGCCTGCAACTTTTTGTAATTTGATTTGAATAAGATTTCATGGGACACTGACTTCCAATAAACTCTTTACAGTTGAGAAACACTTGCAATGACTTGGCTTTATTTGGACTAGAAACCCACTCACCCTCTAAGACCACGTCCCAGAGATCTTGTAGCTATCATTAGATGGACCTGACTATTTGCAGACTGAGAATGCTGGGGGCAAGAGTGTTTTCAGATTTCTGAGTTTGGGAGCACTTTCACAGACTTCACTGGATGAGTATCACTAACTTTGAAAGCACCAAATCTGAAATTCTGCTTAGAAAGCTCAGCTTAGGGAGTTGGGGTTCTACAAGGTTTTTTCTTTACCTTTTTTGGGTTTTTGTTGTTGTTGTTGTTTGAAAGAGGGTCTTTCTGTAGTCTTGGTTGTTCTGGAACTCAGGCTGTAGACCTGAGTTCAGGCTGGCTTCAAACTCACTAAGATCCACCTGCCTCTGCCTCCTGAGTGCTAGAATTAAAGGCATGTGCTACCGAAGCCTGCTGGCAAACGTGTGTGTGCGCGCTGCCTGCATGTATGCCTGCACACCAGAAGAGGGCGTCAGATCCCATTATGGATGGTTGTGAGCCACTATGTGGTTGCTGGGAATTAAACGCAGGACTTCTGGAAGAGCAGCCAATGTAACTATAAAGGCATTTTTTACATTTATTTTTTAACCTATGTACATGAGTGTTTGTGTGCATATATGTTGTACACCACATGCCTACCTGGTGCCCACAGAGGTCAAAACATGGCATCAGATCCTCTGGAACTAGAGTTACAGATAATTGTGAGCCACTATACAGGTGCTGGGAACTGAACCCAGGTACTCTGGAAGAGCTTCCCATGCTCTTAGCCACTGAAATATCTATCCAGTACAACTTGTCTTTTTTTAAAATGGGGTTTCACTGATGCTCAGGCTGGCCTCAAAGCATCTGTGCAAGTTCTCTGCTGCCTCAAAGTACCAGCTGCCAAGCAGTTGGCCTGCACCACAATGCCAGGCCTTGTATAGAGGAGTTTCTGTATTGTCCATTTCAGCGTTCTTATTTTCTCATTCAGTTGCTTCAATATATACTTGCAAAGAGTGCCATGGTGAGAAAAAAGGCAAGACCTGGCTCTGTCTCATACCAGCTGTGCAACTATCCTGTACTTCCCGCCCATAAATTTTAGTTTAATAAATTATGTGAGGAAAAGTAAAGTTCAGTTTGCCTCACATTATGCTCACTCACGTGATCAAATGTCACTTCCCAAAAGCTAGCACTGTGTCCTACTTCATTTCCATCTCAGAGAAACCCTCTTACATGGCACCTGTCACTTCAATGGAGTGACTGATTCCTCGCACAGTAACAACTCCCTGAACACCGTGACTAAGTCCTATTAAACTACACTACAGTGCCTGACCTAAATCCACGCACAATAAATGCTTGCTACATCAAATGACTGTAAATAACAAGTGTTTATGGGATTCTAGGTAAGAAACCATTTCCAGGGCTGGAGAAACAACAACAGTTCAGCAGTTAGGAGTCAGGACTGCTCTTGTGGAGGACCCAAGTTGGGTAACCAGCAACATGCAGCCCATAAGTAACGGTGGCTCCAGCTCTAGGACATCTGACACCCTCTTCTGTTGCTCTGACCACTGAGGGCAATGCTCTCACACATACACAAATCCTGCATGGGCACACATATTAAAAAAATAATTCTTGCCAGGCATTGGTGGCGCATGTGTTTAATCCCAGCACAAAGGCAGAGGATCTCTGTGAGTTCGAGACCAGCCTGGTCTACAAGAGCTAGTTCCAGGACAGCCTCCAAAGCCACAGAGAAACCCTGTCTCGAAAAACCAATAATAATAATAATTCTTAAGAAAAAAGGAAAGAAAGAAATCATTAGAAGCTAGATTGCCCCTAATAGGTTAAGTGAGACCACCTTCAGGTGAACCATGGGAAGCATTATGAATGTGTTAGAAGCCAAAAACCAGAAAGCTTCTAGGTGGAGTGGAGTCATTTTTTTTTTAAGTATTTGAGAACAAATCAAAACTGATTTGAGATCTTACTTATCCAGAGGGAAGGTCTATAATGGAAACTTTTATAAGCTTAACTGTAAAAAGCTAGCCAGGAGCCACAGGCACATCGAGGCTATGCAGGCACTATACACATTAGTAGATGTGAGCACCCAGCTGAATAGGACAGGGACACCTGGTATGCCCCCCACCTGAGACTCCAGTTAAGTTTGAGGGGGTCTAAGCTGAAGAAGATGGGGACAATTATCACTGAGCGAGTACTTTCACTGCAGCTTGGGTGGCCTAAAACCACGGGAATAATGCACTTTATTTCTGCTCTGGAGGGTGCTCACAAGAGGGGGCCACCCCGTCTGTTGGTCAGGTGAATGCGGACCTTTTAACTGAAGTGTCTGTTCACCTCACTGTTCATGCCTGAGAAGGTTTTGAACTTGGTTGTTGGGGGGGGGGGCTAGGGTGGCTATAACAAACATGATGCTTTGCACGGAGTTGGGGACAGTGACAGTTTCAAATATTGGCAATCATCCAAAGGAAGTGTAACAAATTTCGAGGTCCCTGGTTGGTCTTATAGTTTCTTATTTTTGTTATACACTTCTTTAAACTCTATTCTTTTCTTCTCCCCACCCCCACCCCCCAGCTTTACCGCTCCTCGCCACTCCCATAAACAGAAAAACCCGGAATCCAAGTTCCCAGCAGCACGCCAGATAGGAAAACAATCTGAAGGACTGTTTCTGGACTGTCCGGGCAATACTCTGAAAACTGATTTCACAGAGTGGAGCTGGGGCACCGGACCTTGTCGAGTTCGGGACCTGAAACCGCTGGAGCCACGTACGCTCCCGCTCCCGCCCCCACACCCCCAGGTCCACAGCCTCTCCTCACCTAAGTCACACACCCAGCTGTCAGGTTCGCACGCTCCCAGGCCACCGAGCACGGCCCGGGCGGGCGGTCGCGGGGCAGCGCGGGCAGCGGGGTGCTGAGGGACCACAGGGTCCCGCGGGCGAGGGGCGGCGGGCGGCGGCTAGGGCAACCTTTACCTGAAGCCGCTTCCACACTCCCCTGAGGGAGGCCCGGCTTTCCCACGCCCCCCGGCCCCTGCACCGAACCCTGCGCCCACGAAGTCCTCGGGGACCAGCGCTTCTACCGGCCGGCTCGACTGCCGCTCCCCAAACTCGCCCTCATGACCCCGCCGTTCCCCGCCGCCGCCGCCGGCCGGCAACACCAGCCCTGTTACCCGGAGCCGCGCCACGACCCGGAACCGCACCCGGCGTACCGGAAGTCCCCGGTCGGGAAAGGGCCTCTGGCTGGGGACGCAGTGCGCAAGTCCCAGAGCCAAGAGCCAAAGCCTCCGGGGGGGCGGGGCCTGGCGGAAGGCTGGCGCACGCGCGCTGCGCTCAGGCCGATCTGGAAGCATTCTTGGTTTTACAGGCAGCAGTCATCACCTTAACCTCCACTGGGAACAGTCCTCGGTTTAACCTTCATGTCAGAAAGAAGAGTTCACTGCCGTTATTATTTGTTAGATGGACATGGTGTCAAACTGTTTTTTAATTCCTATCTCAACACCCAAATTAGCGCAGCTCTCAGACCTCATCAGAGAAGTTTCTTACTGCAGTGGACGGTGGTTAATACAGAAACTCACAACTGGCCAAAGTGCAGAGGTGAAACGTCTATACGGTGCTCAGTCGAAGTGGGGCACATCACACCTCCATTCTGGAAGGTTCAGGGACCATCATGAAATCAAAAAAAAACAGACCACAAGAGCCCGAGGTCTGGAACAATCAGCATCTTCTGGACCTGACAGGCTCTCTGCATACATGAATTCACAGCAGTGCAAGTTACCTGTGCAAGACCCACAGAAGACCAAGCCAATCAACGTGGCAGTTGGTTCCTACTGGTGGGAGGGACTGTCGGTTTAGCATAAGGGTATTGCCCCTGGTAGGTCAACCATCTCCAGTAGATGGCCTCACACTCAGAAGTATATATATAGGCAACACAAATTGGAATTAAAAATATTTAGGGGGGACACTATTCAAGAGTTTGGGAGAGGGTAGAGGTGAATATGAGATGAATTGGGGGAGGGCATGAATATGATCAAGATACGTTGTATGCATGGATGAAATTCCAAACAAATTTAGTTTTAAAATCTTTGTTTTTAAATCGTTTTTTTACAGAGTCAACCGCCAATTCTATATTTCTGTGAATCTTTGGACACTACACCTCTAGATTTTTCCACCGATAATGATAGTTTCATCTTCTGAGTATTGCTATGAAAATAAAATAGGTTGGTGAATAATAAATACCAGCAAAGTGGCCAGCACATCATAACAAATGTTAAGACTCTCATAACACACACACAAAATAGTGAGGATAACAACCATATTCAGGACTGGCAGAAAGTCTGGGTGAGATGTAAGAAGATTAACTTTCTGGAAAAAAAATCAGTAGCAGAGGGCTAACAAGATAGCTAGCGAATCATTTGATCTGCAGAATTCAAAGAAACATCTGTATGTGGTGGTGCACAAGAACAACCCCAGGGAGACAAAGGTGGGCAGACCTCAGATGCAGGGTAGCCAGTCAGTCTTGCCTAATTGAGTGACACCCAAGACTCCAAGAGAGACCCTACCTCAAAAAAAATTAAATTGATAGGGACAGGCAAATCTCTGTGTGCCTGAGGTCAGCCTGGTTTATATATCAAGTTCTAGGCCAGCCAGTATTGCATAGTAAGAGCAGGTCTCCAAAAAGTAAATAAAAACTGGGTGGTGGTGGCCCTCACCTTTAATCCCAGCACTTGAAAGACAGAGGCAGGGAGATCTCTGTGAGTTCAAGGCCAAACATGATCTACAAAGTGAGTTCCAGGACAGCCAAGACTGTTACACAGAGAAAGCCTGTTTTGAGAAAATGAACAAACAAACAAATGAATAAAGGTTAGATGGTGCCTGAGGGAGTACCACACCTAAGATTGTCCTCTGGCCTCCATGTGAACACCTCAAAACACACACACACACACACACACACACACACACACACACTCCAAAAGAGACACTGTTGTGCCCAAATTCTGAACCCCAAAATCACCGAGAGGCCCATTTCGATGCAAAAGCAAAGAGTCTTTCATTGCAGTTGTTTAACGAGCTAACCCCATTACCTCAGGCCTTTCATCCATCCACCCAGGCAGATGGCTGAGGAAAGACCCAGAGAAACCACGAGACAGGGATCTTGTGGGGCAGTGTAAGGGAGTGTCTAGGGGTACACACAGTCTCAGGATTGGTGTGCCAATCAACCTGCCCTGTGTTGATTGGTCAACTGGTTGTCATGACCTATAGGCCCTCTCTGGGCGGTTGCTACGCTCTGTTGTGCTCTTGTCTGTAAAGCACACCCAGAGCCGGAAAGCACAGACTCGCTGGATAACTTTTGATTGGTTCCTTGCCATGAGGAGGGCATCTGACCCACCAGGATAGACCCAGCAAGTTCAGGTGAGCACATGTTAGCCTATCATGGCTGCCAAAATGGGGGGGCCGGGACAGGAGTGCTGGTCCCTTCAACACCAATGCCAGTAACTCCAGCACTAAGGAAGTTGAGTTAGGGGTTAAGGAGCTCCAAGCCAGCCTAAGCTATTTAGCAAGACCCTGTATTTAAAGGAAAACAAAAATGTACTTAGCAAAAGAACCAAAGAGACAAGGCTGAATCTTGGTGGATCTGTACCCAATATTAAAGTCACCAACCAGCCGATAACCCTATTGTATTTGGAGTTATATGTCCTACCAGTCAGCTTCCAAAATACCACGCAGAGACTTATTGTTAATTAGAAACGCTCGACCAATACTTCAGGCTTGTTACTGAAGGGACCAGCTCCCCATTTCGGCAGCCATGACAGTAACCTTGCCTTGGTCACTTAGAGGTCAGACGCCTGCCTTGTGACAAGGAACCAATCAGAAGTTAGCTGGTGGCACTATGCTTTACGACCCTGGGTGTACTTTACGGACAAGCACACAGCAATGACGCACAGAGCATAGCAACCACCCTGGGAGGGCCTATGGGCCATAACAACCAGTTGACCAATCAATACAGGGCAAGTCCTCCAAGCCTGGAGGCACACCAATCGTGTGCCTGTGCGTACCCCTAGACACTCCCCTTACATTGCCCTTTAAGATCTCTCGAGAGGCCCTAGGAGTTGTCTTTTGCAAGCCATCCGCCATGGCAGGTGGGTGAAAGACTCAAGCTAACATGGGGTTAGCTCATTAAAAAAAAAAAACAACAACACAACAAAAAACAATAAAGCCTCATGCAGTTTGCAGCAAGCTCTCGAATCTGCCTGGTCATTGGGGTGACCGAGGTCATGGCCTGGGACCCCGGATACCTGAGTTTTCCGGGGGTCTAACATTACTAGCTAACTCCTGCATTTTAAACTAACCAATACTTCTTAACTTCCCTCTGCCACTCGGCTCAGTACCTTTTCACAGTATAGCAAGCTCATCTCCTGCTTCCTCTCATCTCCTTGAGATTCCTGAGACTCCAACCCTCTTCTTCCTAGCATTCTCTCTGTCCCAAAATTCCTGCCCAGTCAGCCCAATCAGCTTTTCATTATAACAATGAGAGCAACACATCTTCACAGTAATACAGAAGGAATATTCCACAGCACCGCATAGATTCATTCAAGTGGTATATGATCGGTTTATTACTTCAAATATGGCAGCAGAAAGAGCAAGGCACACAATCACCAACTGGACTTTTACACACACACACACCACCATGATTCCTTCAGAAACCTGCTGTAGTCACTCTGTAAAACAATAATTGTGAACACAGTGGATGTTCGATTTTCTTGGTCTGTTCTTTAAGGTTTAGGGGTTTCTATTCTTTCAGTCTGTTTGGAATAGAACTTAGTATCTACTAAGCCATGGCTTGGGCCTCTAGATCTTATTCTCTATTTTTACCTTTCTTGAGGCCACTCTGAAGCCCAACTGTCTAATTGTCTCATGGATACATAAAACCCAGCTAAAGTGGAAATCTGCATGTACAGATCTAAAGGCCAAATCACCAGTCTGCTACTCAGTAACATTGGGGGTCACCACGTAAAGCTGCCTCCCTTTTACACAGCTTCTTGTGAAGGGACCAGCTCCACATTTCAGCAGCCATAACAGCCGAACTGCCAAACTGCCCCAACTGCCATCCTGCCATGGGTCCTGGCTTGCGGCAGGAATTTCCCTGCCCTGAGCACATGGCTGCAAGGCCACCATCTGCCTGGCTGCCCGGCCTTCTCTGTGCTCCACACACATGGTATGCAGGGAAACCTGGGGGGTCTTTTCCCCACCCCTGTATTGGCAGAGGGTCTGGGATTACCAGCAGCACCCCTCCTCACCCAGGTCTCTGCCCTGGGGCTGATGAACTATCTGGCCTTATCCGGACGTTCAAAAAAAAAAAAAAAAAAAGCCTTAAAGTTAAGTTATTAAAAACTATAAAAGGGACTTTGATAAGAGTTTTTATGTTGATTGAGAAATGAGAGAGAATGTAGGAGACTAAAGTAATAAAGAGGGAAAGGGAAAGAGAAATTTGTCTAAGAATGTCTAAGAAAATCAGAGAAATGAACTAAAGGTATATAGAAAGTTACAAAGGATTAAAGCAAGTCGTAGAAGGTCAGAGGAAACGTTAAAAGTCAGAGAAAAATGTAAACTGTTTGCTATGGTTTCCCATGTCTACAAATAGTAAATTTTAAAAATTGGTAATATAAGTTAAAATTTTGACCACATTAGGTTAATTCTGATTTCAAAGTTCTGTTTATTTCTCAAGTAAATTATGTATGCTTGTTTTAAAATGTTCTGTTTCCTGGCATAACCTAAGTTCTGCTACAAGCATACAGCTAAAACAAATGGTGCAGGTCACCGCCATTTTCTAGCCATCCACATGGCAAACTGGTCACATGGCTGACTGGTAGCCATTTTGCTGAAGTTGAAAAAAGGATACTTGAACCGCCATCTTGACTAAAGGTGACTGCACGGGAATTAGAGGCACCATCTTAGAAACAAGTTTTTCAGTTAAGATTTAAATTGTTAATGCTTCTTTACAGAAAGACATTAAGGACATTTAAATTTCTTTTCAAAGCCAGTTTTTTTTAAATGTTTATGTTTTAAAAATGTTTTTATTAATGTTTGTACTTAAAGAGCTTCAATTTAGAATCATTTTTAAGCAAAGCCTGACAATGTAAAGTTCTTGTTTTATAAAAGCTGCTAATCTATTATAAGATGTTACAGTTTATGTTTTCAGA